GAATTTCATAATGACCGTGGGAAGGAAGCAGGGAAGGTATTATTTRTACCTGACAGTCAAGAACACGGACTGGGAGACATTGGAAACTTTCCCAGAGTGATATAGGCCAACCAAGGCTCCTGACTCAGTCCAGTACTGAGTCTTTACATAGTCTGATCTTTTCAGGTCATGTGAATCTTAGTTATAAAGGAAATATAGTTAAACTTTCTTTTCAAAGGTTTGCAGTTTTTGAGGTTTATTCATAATCAGATTAGATTTTATTGATAGAGAATAACCTCATATTGCTCTCCAACCTACATTGTGTATTCATTTAGGCTATCTGGTCCTCCTTTTATGGATTCATTCAGCCATATGCAGTGATTAGTTCGGGTAGAGTTATGAAGATCTTTTATGCCATGCCTAAGAGTCAATCTTTGTTTTTATARCTGTGGAAATTAGAGAGGAAGGGTCAAAAAGGGAAAAAATTAAAGTTGATTTACAACACTCTATTAAATGTTAGATATATGGGAAAGAGGTAGCCACTGAGGAGAAGACATTAGAATTGCCAGTCATGCTAGTCTTTGAAATAAGAAACACAGAAAGAAAAAGCAGGTATTTTTTTATAGACTTTCCTTCACTAGTTTTTTTTTTTTTAAACACAAGTAAGTATTTTTCTTTGTGTAATGCAAATGGTTCAAATCATGCTGAACATTAATCATTGACTAATATAAGGGCGTTAAATATAAATATTTTTTTGATGAACCTTTACATTATTCATTTATTTTTACGCAATGTGGAGAATCAAACCCAGTGCCTCACACATACTAAGCAGGTGTTCTACCAYTGATCCACAACAAAATTATGTTTTAAAAAAGAAAAATAATAAAGGTTATATATAAAAAATGATCTGAAATCTATAAGCCAATTCCAAAAATGAAATGAGTTTATAGAATCTGGTGAAACTGGAACATTCCCCCCTGCTTTGGAGATGGCTATCATAAAACATTCAGTCATCTGAAGATGGATTGGTAGAGGTGTGTCTATACATAAATTTCAAGTCATTTTTGCTTATGCAGAATCACCCAGATCTTCCCAAGACTGAATGGGCAGTTCTGTGGCAGAAAAATCAGATTTAAGAGAATACTTGATTAATTAAATTTTAGATATTTCAGGTTCAGAGTGAGGTGCAGAACATTCAGAAGAAAGGTCCAGTAGACAATTCAATAGAAACATTTTTCATTAGATTAGATTATGGTAAGACACAACCCCCCAAATCTCACTGGTTTATGATAGCAATAACTGAATAAACTYATTTCTTGTTGAGAATATGTATCAGCTAATTCAGCTCTACTGGATTCTACTCAGTCCTCTTCCATGTGTGGGCCTCCATCTCGAATCATGACCCAGATAGCAGCTGATTTGGGGCAACCCCAGAGCCAACCTTGCAGTCATACCTCAAACATCTTCTCAGAGCCATCCAATATCACATTTCCTTACATCTTATAAGCTGCAACAAGTATGGCTAAAGTCAACATGGGCGGGAAAGTGCCTTGCAAATTCTAAGGTGAAAAARCAAGAAGTATGATCCTTCTTCAAGATAAGGAAGTAAATATATATAAGACAATAATATTATCTTCTGTAATACTAGAAATAATAATAAAATAAGGAGTAAGCAGCAGCATCTAGAATACAAATGTAAATATAAATTTGAGAATCATCAGTGAACAGGTTGCAGTTGAAACTATGGGAATGGATAAAATTATGGACATCTTGATTTATGAGAAAAGTACACAACTGTTCTTTTCATATACTTCTATACCTACCATTGTACCATGGCTCAAAATATTGCCTTATCTAGGAATAACTCAATGGTAGAACACTTGCCAAGCATGCACAAGGCCCTCAGTTTGAACCCCAGCACTGAAAAAGAGAAAAAAAATCACGTCATCTAGAATATCCCATCTATCCCTCCCAGAACCAAATTCTGTTTGTAATAGATAATATAGTTTTATTGTCAGATGATTGCTTTTTCCTTAAATTGTAGTCTGCAATGTACATTTAATTYCTTTAAAAAAATTAATTATATATGACTTTATTTTTCCAGGCATCCAAACAATGACTGTCCATCAAAAGAATACCAAGAAATGAACAATAATAAAAAATTCAGTTACTTTTACCTCCKCATCCTTAATTTGTGCAGTCTGGTAGGTTTTTCCCATCATCCTCACAAAGATAATGAACATGTTCAGCATCCATTAATGCTTTCTCAGGAACCTTTGTAGTCTGCCCCCTCCTACTGATTTCCTTGTTCCATTGTATACTCAGCCAACAATTGATCTGCTTTCTGTGCCTCTGGATTAGCTAGCATTTTTCTATACTTTTAWGGGAATAAATTCATACAACACAAGCTCTTTTCTTTGTTCAGAACAATCAATCTATTTTATTTCTGAGTGGTATTCTACTGCATACATAGATTTATCACTATTTGTTGTTTTATATACATTTTTGTTTTTAATGAACATRGAATTATATATTTACTGGATAGAGTGCCACATTTCAATATATTTTCTTCTTATTTGTCCTTAACTTAGTTTCATAGCTTAAAGATAACCCACTTCAGTGTTCTCAMACTTTGTGGCCTATTAGAACTAATCTGGGAAGTATTTTAAAATGCCAGTGCTCCAAGTCACAGTCCAGACCAATTAAGCCAAAATCTTTCAGAGCAGGCCAGATACAGTTATTTCATTAAACATTYTCCTAGATGATTCAGTGCACAGTGAAGTCTGAAAAATACTGACATAGCCTAACCTTATTGGCAAATTGGAAAGTTTRACTGTTTCATGTTCATTAGCTTTGCCTTCTCAACCCTAGTTAGAGAAATTTTTGCATTTACTTAGCAAGAATAAYATAGTCATACATGGTAGACATGCATATAGCAACCAATAAGTAAGCTCYATTTTGCAGTGGTCTTTAATACTAGTTTCTCAAGAACCATTTCGGATATTCAAACATTCTARTTGGCACCCTCTCTGATGTGATCTATCAGTATGTAATAGATACTGATCTATTGGTATCAGGTGAGGCCTGAGCTTCATGTACAAACCAGAGCTGAAAATCACTTACCTATTTCCAGATAAAATGATATGTGAGTGAACACAGCCTGTCATAACATGTCAGGCCTTTTAATGTCTAAMGATGAAAAATATTATTTGAACAAATTTATTTACCAATTGACTCTTTATTGTTTTGTATAGTATCCATGGACCACTAGCATTGAAATTATTGGTGGTGTTGCTAAAATCAGTATTCTAAACCCTACCCTTATCCTATGAGAACAGCATCTCTGAGAGTAGGGTAGGGCATTAATCTGCTAGTGATTTTCATGTACATTCAAGTTGATTTATTATCTCTGACTTCTGTGTTTGATGCATATACATTTTAGAATTAAAAACTTTTAAGAAGTTAAGCAATTTGACCTGTTCCTCCTTATGTCCCTATCATCTAGAAGAGTGGCTGACATTTAGTTCATACTCARTAACTGGTGAAGTGTGTCAATAGAAAAGAATCTGAAGTCATAGTCTCAAAATAGGAAGACAATTTAGAGGTCATTAAGAAGCAAACTTTGGAACACGTTAGAATCCTGGCTTCACTCATGAGTGYTTAACCTTGGATAAATACTTAATCCCTCTCTTCCAAAATTCTCAAGAATACCAAAAAAAAATTGCACTACTTTACTATTCAGTAAAGTATAAATGAGTTTAAATATAGAGAATGCTTAGAGCAATTCTTGTCTAAAACACCTGAAGAATTTAGTAAATTGTGACATAGCACAAGCCAGCCCAAGGGCAGGCATCTAATCAGTCAGATCCAATTCAGTTTTTCTCACTCTTCCTCCAATAATTTTTATATAATTTGGCAGAAAGACATCAGAAGRTTCTTTCTTTCTAATATCTCACCATAGTACTAGTCTTTCATATACATGCAGAAATTTCCATTATTGTAGTCATTTTTCTAAATCAGTGAAATGGTGAAYGTTTTTWAATAAAACAAATACCTATTACCCATAATGAAYAGGAAATCATAAATGGTGGCACATGTCTGTACTCCCAGMAAAGTGGGAGCCTGAGGCAAGAAGATTGCAAGTTTGTAGCCTCAGCAACTAAGTGAGGCCCTGTCTCAAAATAAAAAAGGATGGGGATGCGATACTGCTCAGTGGTTAAGCGCCCCTAGGTTCAATCTCTAGTACAACAACAACAACAACAACAAAAAGGCAAGCAATACAAATAAAATCATACAATTTTAAACCCTAAAGAAGTTCATTTAGCAGTTTCTGTTTTACTTTTGTTGTTTAGTTTGTTTTATGGCAATACACTAGGCCCCTTCCTGAGATAAGCATTGATTATAATCATAATGAAGACTGGAGTGACCACTGTCCCACAGATGCTGGCATTTTAAAGGAAGAACAAACTGAAAGCTTCAACATTTCAGTCTCACCCTTTGATCTACATTGGAAACCCAGTGGGATTTGATCTGAAGTGGGCATGATTTTTCTTTTCTTTTCTTTTTTTTTTTTTTTTTTTTGCGGGGGTTGGGGGAGACTTTCATTAACTCTGATAACTAAACAAACTTCCTGGTTCTGTTTCTTCCCATGGAAAGCATCCCTGGAAAGAAAGCACTTTGTTTTGAGCATTTGTGGGAGGCGMCTTGGAAAGGCGTCCTTTGCACTTTAGCACTGTAGAAAAAGGAAGGGTGGGTGGGGAAATAGAGTAGAGCTGAGAAGTCATAGGGGTTAGAAACAAAGATGTGACAAAAGGAGCAAGGCTAAGGACAGGGTAGAAAGGAAAAGTCACCGGGACCTGAAGTCAGTCATCTGGCTAGAAATCCTCAAGGAGAGGAGGCGGGGTTCAGAGACAAACTGGCCTTAGCCAACCCAGCTCTCCTGGGGCGGGAGTCGCAGACTGGCCTCGGAGGCCACACCCAGGGCCTGCCAGTCCCGCGCTTTTCCGAGAGCAGTAGGAGTTTCCTGCACGAACTGGTGAAAGAACCAACGTATGAATGATCCTCCTGCCAGGATGGGGACCCCGGAAYCCCAGGGGTTTGTGCCTTTTACGGACTGCCCCCGCACCCAGCGGGACCCCGGGTCCTCTCTGTGCAAGGTGGGGCGCCAGACTCCCCTGGCTCCTGGCGCCCGGGRTCCCGCACCGGCGGTGGCCAGCGGAAGCCTGGGCGGCTCCCAGGACTCCAGGTCTGCAGGTCCAGCCCTCCGACCGCCAGCCAGAGAGAATTTGGATTGTGAGTCCTGGGTGCGAGAGAAAGTGCTCTTTCTTCTGCACCCAGAAAGGTGGTTGGGGACTCAAGCGAACCCTGCAGGCGGAGAGGAGGTGGCTGGTGAGGAGGATCTTCCCCAGGCGAGCGGAGAGGATCACGACCAGGAACCCGACTGCTCTTCTCTCTTTCAAGGACAAAAGAGAATTTCTGGCAGGCGAATTATCGCTCCTTCTGGAGCCCAGCCGCGAGACCCTGCAGCGCCACCCAAATCTGTGCTTGTGCGGGTCGTGGATTATCAGGCGACGCAAGAAGTGCTGCGGACTGCATGGACGAAGGGTCGCATGACCACGAGGACCGAGGAGCACTGCATGACCGCGGTCACTTTTCGCACCAACAGAGAGTGAGACTTCGGGACCCCTGTCGAACCCCAGGYCCTCCTGAACCCCTGAGGCACCCGGCGTCCACGCAGGGGATAGAGGATGTTTTCACCGCCAGCGAGGACCTGATTCCAGAGGAGATTACACTGCGCYGAGGAGCCTGAGGAATGTTCTGGTCTGGTGGATGAGCGATAATCCTTGAACGAAAATGCTGTTCCGGGGGCTCAACTTGCAATTAACCGATGGAAAGAAACTTGTAAGAGGCTGGAGGGAGCTGCGCTGCATGGAGGCAGTGGGCGCCCAAACTAGCTTGAAGATCTGTAAACCGCAGGACCTCTGTGGCTGAAGTACCGTGAGGTTGTAGGGACCTAAGTCATTGAGATCGATAGAAGGTATTTTCAAATTGGCAGAATGCGGGAGCTTCGAAATAAGAAAATCGTTTTAATTCGCGTTTTGCAATAGCTCTTTTTTTTGTGCCACCTTCGCCTCCCCTTTAAGGCCTGAAAGCTGAAGTGACGTTTGAGGTCTGCTCCCGGGAAGTTCATAGGTGGTTGGGGGGGGGGGGGGGGGGGGGGGGGGGGGGGGGGGGGGGGGGGGGGGGGGGAATTTGTTTAAAAGCTGAAAAAGAACATTAAATTTTTAAAAGTAAACATAAAATGAAGCATCAAATATAGCAAAATTTTTCTTGTTACCCTCTTCTGATGTACAAGTCTTCATGCCCCACCCCTCCATATTTCAGTGTTAAGAAGAAAAAGAGAGGAGCTAGGAAAAGAAGGGGGGAATCGRAAATTGAGCTTTAAAGGTAAATGCCATTTAAATAGGGCTTTCCCCCAAACAATATATAAGTTAGTCCAGTCAAATACCTTTAATTTGGATTTTTAAAAATTATTTTAATGTTAAAAATATACAGCATATAAATCATCCAATCTAAAAGTAGATAGAAATACTATATATAATGTGCCATARGATGATTGTATAACTTATTCTTGTCCATAGCTCATTATTAGTAAGATTTGTAGTCAAGAATAGATCCATAATACTTCTTTTCTGGTGCTATTGAAACAAATTGTTTTCCTTATTTTATGTATTCCCTTTTGTTATTAAAATCCATCTTTGCTAACTCTTTAGAATGTGGCCCTGTTTGGAACTCTGCTTGTTGACCTTGTCACTATTGAAGGAGTGTTGGTTGCAAGGGACAATTAACAAAAATGTGGATCTCTGGCTTTTGAAGGGTAGTGCAGGAACCTCAGACTCCAGGCCTTCCCATTTGCCCTCAATTTTCATTTASAGTTTGAAATGCCCTCAGAAGATCATCTGATGCACCTCTTGCCTCCATGCAGGCAAGATAAATAAGGTCACTGTTTTACAGATGAGCCAACTTTGGCTTAGAAGTCACACTGTTGCCTGTGTAGGTCAATCAACAAGTAATTGCATGTGCTTACCAAACAGACAAAGAATGTGATCATCTCCCTCCCAAAAGGTTGGGATAACCTTTAGAGAGACTTATTTCTAGAGGTCAAAAGATGACTGAGGACATTATGAGTTTTCTAACTTATGGTTATGAAAAGAACTAGAATCACCTGATGTCTTTGAAGCCTAATCACCTCTACCCTTTTCAGGCCTTTGAAACCTGGGTTAAGAAAGGAATTCAGCACCTGGRCTTATGTTCAAAACTGTCTGGTAGGCAGAAAAGGGAATATTGGCCTCTTAAAATGAATTTTTTTTTCCCTCTAGCATCAATACCTGCCTCCTATGTAAGACTAACTTTGGCAGATAAATATTATACCTGAATTTGTTAAGTTATCCCATGTGCCAGGTGATTGAGCATTGGATTTAAGCCAGAAATAAAAACAAAAACTTTAAAAATTACCCAAAACATTAGCTTCATTTGGTTAACTTCTCTCAGGAGGTAAACTCTGGAGTTCAAGAGTTGGGTTGGACTTAGAACTGGCTTCCTGTTACTAACTGTGTAACCTTGGGCAAGATGCCTAATCTTTATGTGCCTCTCCGGCTTGTTTGTTAAATGGGGATAATAAGTAATGTCATAAACTTTTTTCTAGGATTAAGTTAGATGAAAATACTTAATACTGCCTAGCATACAACAGATGCTTAAAAGCTAGTGATTATTGCTAGTGTGGTTGTTATTTAGCTCACTTTTCAYTCTAACCAGGCTTTAGTTTTTTATTTAATAACAAAGAGCAGAATTCATAAAACACAAAAAAATCTAGTGAAAGCCAAACCTGTGGTTTTTACTAAGATTTTCTTCTCATTCCTGAATTTATTTCTACGTTCTCCCCAAACTTAACAGATCAATAAGTACATTCCTTAAATTCCTTAGAAGCATGTCTGCAGYTTGTGTAAGGACTCATGTAAAGGCTTAAAGGACTAGGGTGCAGACTGCTTGGCAAAGTCTTTGAAAAGGTTGAAAAACAGTTCTTGGCAGATAGGAGCTTTGAATATTTTCTTCAGGGCCTGTTGTGTTACCTTGTTTTCTCTCTGGAATTTAAAATCTGATGTCCTGTCATCTATAAAAGGCAGAATAGACACAAATCGTTCCTAAAAAAATATTCTGTCAAAAAATGTATTTTTAAAGTTTAATTAATACTTTAATACTTTAATCCAAGTATTTTTGAATTAATTTTATCTCCATTAAGTGAAACAATATTTTTAAAACAATTATCCAACCTCCCTGTTGACTGCCTGCAAACTATTCATAGAATTCCTTTAGGACAGATGTCTCATTGCCAACAAAATAGTAGTAAGTTGAAGTTCTGTTGAATTTGTTTTACAGATTTCCTGATCCTGGCAGAAGGCTATTGTCATGTGTGCAGGGAACCTGAGGAAACTTCCCATTCACAAGTGTCCTGAGAGTGCATCCAAAGTGAAACTTATCCTCAATGCTAAGAAATCTATCAGAATGGCTAGGTCTTGGCTCCTTGATCTTACCTCCACCTCAAAGAAAAATCTCCTCACTTAAAATTGTATTAGGTGGATGAATTGCATCAAAAACTTCCAGAAGCCACTTGGCCATTTGAGGGACTATAAGACAAATGTCACAGTCACATGATCACCATGGATCAGGCAAATGTCCACCTCTCTCAAAACCCTTTTCTATAATCTTTGTCACTTTGGATAGTCATTGCACTGGACTGCAGCTTTTATTCTTGTTGGAGGATATCACCAGTGCTTGGTGCTTAAAYTTGATGTGTAAGCTTAAGTTTTTTAAACTTAAAAAACAAGAAGGAAGAAAGAGCTTTCTATTAAAAGTTTACTCATGCCAAAAATTTGATGAATACTATTTAATGAATACTATTTAATTAATACTATTTCATACTATTTAATGAGGAAAAAGAAAAACAGAATAAAAAAGGCCTGGCACAATGGCACACGCCTGTAAACCCATTGGTTTAGGAGTCTGGGGCAGGATGATTGAGAGTTCAAAGCCAACCTCAGCAACTTAGAGATCCTAAGCAACTCAATAAGATCCTGTCTCTAAATAAAATATAAAAACAAAAAGGGCTGGGGATGTAGCTCAGTGGTTAAGCACCCCTGGGTTCAATCAATCCCTATTGCCAATCAGTAAATAAATAAGGAAAGAAAGAAAGAAAACAAAACAAAAACTGGGAGCAGTGGAGAAGGTCTGTAATCCCACCACTTGGAGGCTGTAGCAGAATGACTGTAAATTCGAGGCCATACTCCCCCATTTAGCAAGGCCCTATCTAAAAATAAATAAAAAGAACTGGGGATGTAGCTCTGTGGTAGAGTACCTCTGGATTTAATTTTAGGACTAAAAAAAAAAAAAAACAAAAAAGAAAAGAAAACCAAAATTTTCCCATGATTCTAAAACTTTTGTAATATTTGGTATGTTTTCATTATGGTTTTATTTCAATCTTTTTATTTGTATACATATGTATGCTATTCTAGCATAAACTAAATAGTTTTACTTTTCTGGGTATGGYCTTCACATGAACTAACATACACAAGGTATGGTTTGTGAACCAACAACAATGAGCATCTCAAAGAAATTTTATATATGCAAAATCTCAGGCCCACCCCAGATCCACTGAGTCAGATTTACTATTTTGAAAAGATCTCTGATGATTCAAGTTAAAATTTGACAAGATTTGACATAATCCTTCATCCTTAGTTCTGAGTCTTTGTTACTTATCAAAACTTAGAAAAGTTTATTATTTCTCTATTTCCTACTAATAATTAGCAGTGCCATGACAATAATAGTTTGTAGAATTGTGGAAACATTTAAAGTTCGTAGTAAAAGTCAAATATAGTATATAGAGACTTTTTAAATTGGCAAAAGGCTTTCTAAAAAGCATGTTATGTCTTTTTAAAGAGCCTTCTTATTCTAAAGTGTTCCTAATGAACTGTTGATTGATTACTGGGTTTTAAACTATTTCAGAAACGTAGTTCCTTCATTATCTAAGAATGCAAAATAATATGTTCTCCAAAACCCCCTAGGGAAGGTAGGGCAGGAAGTCTTAAAGACAGCTCAATTGCAACAGGTCTGCAGGCTGAGTCAGGACCTGTGAGCTACTCTTGATGCATTGTGAGGGGGTGGGGTAAAAGTGGAGACTGAATTTGAATCAACTAACAGGTAAGAAAACAAAGGGCTGTGACTCTTGAACACCCTGACATCTCCAAAACCACAGACAGGACTTCGCTCTTTAATTAGGGAGGGCAAATCTTTGTTAATTTGCTTTTCTAGATGAAGATAAGCAGGTTACTTTGAGAGAGTTATGATCGGTTATTAGGTATTATGCAGTCAACAATTGCCAACAAAACATGAGACTTGRTTGTATTCAAAGCAAGGAGTTGAATTTAAAATCAAACTCCGATTTATAAATTTAAAATAGAGTAACAATTATTTGAGGAGAGTACAGACTTCATAAAAATAGAACAGAAGCTATGTGTCCTGAACTTGGTGTGGTATGGTTGGCTTGCCTCCTATGCCTGTAGTCAGCAAGGAAGCAAAGGAGGGGGGCGGTCAGAGGACCCTAACCTTTCTTTTCTTAGAGCTTTAGAAAACTCGCCAATTTTTTTAAAATATTTTTTTTAGCTTTAGGTGGACACAAAATCTTTATTTTATTTTTATGTGGTGCTGAGGATGGAACCCTGTGCTTCACACATGCCAGGTGAGCGCGCTACTACTTGAAGCATATCTCCAGCCCAAACTAGCCAATGTTAATGTTCTCTGCAGGTCCCCAGCAGCCTGCCAGTTTTACAACTCAGGACTGTCTTTCTCTGGGGCTTAGGAGCCATTCTTTGAAATGTAATCATTAAGGAAGTTAGGGCCCCAAGTCCCCARTGTTTGTGGAAGAGAAAGAGTCCAACATTTATCTGTGAAGTGTCARTTAGCAAATACAGATGGCCTAACCACATTAGCCAACCTCCTACTTTCTCATTAATTTAACCCACTGCTTAAAAACTCTCCCATCATTTATTTCAAAGGAATTGAGTTCGGTTTCTCTTCCCTAACGGCATARTCTTGAGTAAAGTCTCCCTTTGCTTACCTCTGTCCTGTGAATTTTTTTTCTTCTACAATAGTGAAAAAAAAAAAAAGAAGCATTTTGAGTGTGGACTGATGGAATCCTATTGGCATGAGGAAGCTGGAGGCCAAATATCTAGAAGGGCAGATGGTAATGATATTGGGTTCAATCTCAGCTCTTTTTAAGATTGATTTAGAGTTTTTTCTCAGGCAAGTCTTGAGTTGGAAGGGTGCAAAACCACAGGAATGCTGACAGTCATTGACCAGGTTTTGCTCTCTTTTGGACTGATTCCTGCAAAGGCTCTCATTTGGCTTCTTAGGCTAGTTGCCAAAAAAGTTGTACGTTGGCATTTTGCAGTAAATAGTGTCAACCACATAGGGTTTGTTTTCTAGGATTAAGTTAAATGAAAAATACTTTGAACAGTGCCTGGCATAAAATAAATACTCAAAATTAACCATTATTATTATTTATAATATTAATGTTGTATTGTTTACTTCATTTTCCTCTAAACCAAACTTTAGTCTTTAATGACAAAGAGCAGAAGATTTATAACACAAGAATATCAAACTTAAGCCAGAATTTTTATTAAGTCTCTTTTCTTTCTTTTTTCAAATGTTAACATATCTGCTCTGGCCATTGTCCATTTATAGATTCAGCCTTTCTCTAACTTTGTGTGTATGTATGTGTGTGTGTGTGCATATCTGAATGTACATTCACATGCACTAGGTTTGGAACCCAGGGCCTTGCAAACGCATAGCACACTGTCTACTAAACAGCTACACTTTCATTTGCATTAATTTTAGAACAATCTTGAAGTTAGAAACTTCATTAGAAACCAGAAGACTCAGTTACAGAATTCTGGGAGATTTAGTCACAGAATTCTTCTTTGACATGACCACATTACATACACATAATTGCTTAGAAACATTCAGATCATCGCRTTGCAAGTCATTTCTTTATGGAAGTGAAGTATGCCTTGATATCCTGTCTGTTAGCACCCAAAATACTGTCCAAAGGATTAGTGCCACCTTACTGGACCTGATGTAAGGCCTGCATAGAGTCTACCTAGGCATGGGGCATTATCCAGTGGCCACTGAAGTTATAGGGCAGTAAACCTAATCTTAAAACAGCACAACTTCCCTCTGGCTCAAAACTCTGAATGTTAAAGCTGCTTTGTATGCCCATTGGACAATCCTCAGATATATGTTCTGCTTTATGACWTTGAACTTGTTTTGAGATTACTATAAAAGTAGGTATGATTTAAAACCCTGAATTCAACTTACTTGGGAAAGGAGTAAGCAATATAGGCKGTATCAGAGAACTTCCCAGGGAGGGCTTCTGAATGCTGTCAACKTCTTTAAGGATTCTCCTACAACCTGTATCCTTGTCTCAGAAGCCCAGAGCATATCCATGGACTTTCCAGCCAGCCTCAGTGTTGACCCAGATCCTGGACCTTATAAGGATTCAGGATATAGTCTTACCATCCCAACAGACTGAAAAAATATACAAATTTATAATGAGATAATCTTGTAATAAAATCGGTCATAATTCTCCTCTTTGGGTGTTATGTTGGAGAGGAAGAAAGGGTATTCTGACTTATATTCAGTTGGATGCCAAGGTTTAGGCAATTGAAGGGGATGGAGATTCCCAAAGAATAAACAGTAAGTAGTGCATTATCTTCAGACATTTTCAAACAATGATAAAGCCAGACTAAATATCTGCTTTTTATTATTACTATGTGTTTTATGATAACATACTTTTCTCCTGGTCAAAAAAAAAATCTATTGTTGATCTAAATTCTAAAAAACCTGCGATTGTTGTTTGAATTTTAATCACAAGGATATAAGCCTCAAATCAGTATATTTTAATTTTCCTTTACTTTTTCTCTCTGTGTGAATGCTTAAAGAAGTCTCATTGTTGTCCCCCAGTACCTCTGTCTTACTGTCCATCTTTCTGCAACGTAATTATACACACACAGACTCAGCTATCTGCGTTTAACAGTAAATTCCTAAGAGTTTACAATCTTTCAAGTGGGCTTTGAATTSACTTTATGTCTCCAACCTTTCTCTATTTCTGCATTTCAAGAGTAGATTCAAAATAAACAACAACACAGCTATTKTATGACAGTCTATGTAACTATGGCATGCAAAATTTACAATACAGAAACAATTAAATGTAATATTTTGTTYTTAAGTGCCAATTGAGTTCACCAGTAAATTACTGATTTGATATACCTTTAACATAAAATTTATTCTTTTTTATTGTTAATTATTTTAAAATGAAAGAGTTAATTAAGTAAATAAAACATTATGTGAGTAGTAAAATTTAGTTGCTTCTTTTGCAAACATTTCAGTTTTATTAAAGTTTACTTGGTCACTACTTCACAATTATGTACATTAAATGATGTTATATCAGATTCTCACCAAAGGTTCAAAGTTATTTGTTTCTCTTTATGATTGTGACTAATCATTATTTTCTCATCTGCTTCTGGTA